AACCATTCAGACAACCATGGAAAACCTTGAAGCTCTGGACGGCGCCTTATGATATTATTCAACATATGTTCACTAGTGAATGGCTTCAACAAGTATTTCCTGGAGTTCTAGTGAGAAGCAGTCACAAGTGGAGTTCAACCGGGTCTGTTGTAAGATAGTAATTCACTGAAGACAGTGGTGGATGTGTCGCTCAATTTCGTGAATCGGTTGAAATAAGACATTTAAACCGTTGGATGCTGGCCAGCTCAGTGATCAAGTGGTTAAGCGTTTGCGCGCGAGACTGATATGTTCTGTGTTAGAATCTCATGAGGCGGGATCGTGGATGAGCATTGTTTTGGTATCGTCTCACAATAGGATTATTTGGGTGTCCAGTGCTTCCATGTTTTTCATGGTGGTCTAGCTTCAATCGATTCATGATCTCAACTATTAGAATTTATGAAATTCTACACCACATCATAAAATTGTGCAATAACTCATTACAGATTGTTATATTCAATGTTTAAAAGTTTCGATGATTGTTAATAGTTTTTCTTAGAATGTAACGAATCTTATTTTCTTACTACAGACTACTATTGTTAAAATGTAAATTCACTATAAATACCAGTGTACAGTTTAGATAAATGTAATCGTCAAAAAAGAAAGTTTTCTTCACTGAATTGTCTTTAATTCTTTTACAAATTAGGATTCATTATTAGTGTATAAACTTTTATTATTTACTTTAAACAACGAAATAAGAGCGAGAATTTTCATGTTAGTTCACTGTGATCATCAATACAGATAGTCAGGTACATCCAGCTAACGAGTCACAAATTAGAAGAGACGGACTTCCTTCATTTCCCCACCATCTAATAAACAATTTTATTTAGAATGAAAGTGTTTGTGTATTATTATTCCTCACTTATTTAAATTAGTAAATTGATTGAATTTGGAATTGGAACACAGTTATCTCAAAATCAGAATGTGTATTTTGCAAACGATCCTCTAGACTTTTAAGTGAAATTCTTATTTTTTCAGTTTATCATTCCTGTATATTTGAATAAAAACATTTCAATAAATCATAGGAAATCTTATGTAAAGTCTGCTATTTGAATTTTCAATAACAATGAGTTGATGTATTTACAATTATATAGTTGAGATCATGAGTCAATTGAAGCTAGACCACCTTGGAAAACCTGGAAGCACTGGACGGCCAAGTCGTCCTATTTTCGGACAATACCAGAGCAGTGCGTATCCACGATCCCACCTTACGAGATTCGAACCCAGGACCTACCAGTCTCGCACCGGAGCACAATTAAATGCATAATGCTACTCTTACTTTTAGACATACATACATACAAACGACACTGGAAGATGTTGATGTACTGACCAGTTTAGTTGTATCAAGCATATAAAACTATAAACCTTTTGTTTCACATGAAAACATCAAGTTGACTTAATTAACTTAGATTTTTATGAAAACTTTTTTCCCATAATTCTTCTGAACAACATGTTAAAAATATATAAGAACTCTCGTCTAAATTAGAACGAATAGTTTCACAGTATTTGAGCGCCGAGTTATAAAACATGTTAAAAATGTTTTTGTTTTTTTTGCTCTAGAAAAATGTAAACATTATTCAACTAATTTTGATGAATCCCTTATGGAATATCTGTTAAATTCATCTATTCAAGTTAAGATCTTTTGTCAATCATTTTATTGTTCATCATTTGATTTGTTTTTCTTTTCTTTAAATCTTGGAACATGGTTCTCTGTTTTGATTTGATTCATTTGAACTGATAACTCTATATAGCCCCTAAATACCCTGGTACGGCTGAGAGTGGGGAGATTCCGCTCTTCCTCTCGAAATGACCTCACATAAACATGCGTATATAGCCTCTGACAGGCAAGTCCTACTCACTAAATTCTCGTGACATTACTGATGTTTACGAAATTGAGAGGACGAAAAGTGAATGTCTGGTGCTTTAACCGGGTTAGTGGACAAGACGAGTCCACCTAGAGGAGTTGGAAAACCCTGATTCCAAACCAATGGTGCACATGGACTCCAGTATCCTGAGTGAACAAATGGCGCATGAATCAATCGTTGGTCACCGGCTACCATGGGACTGCATCTCCTCACAATGCTCCACTGCATTGTGGATCATACCTTCAGGTCAAAGGCTCATATATTATAATAAAGAATAATGAAAAAAAACCCAGTGATTTCGTTTATTCAAATCCTTAACAAAATTATGATTTATCTAATCTGAAATATTTACAGAATGAAAAAATATTTTATGCAACTGAATAGTTTAAGAAAGAAATGAAAGTTTATTTCACGAGCTTCCTAATAGATCATTTATTTATGATATGAATATCAAAATACTTAAAATACTCAAAAACACTTAAAAACACAAGTTTAGTTATTGTATGAAATTTCAAAGCAAACTGTTATGATGTAAGGTTGATGGTGATTAGCAGAGGGATCCAGGATGCGTGTTTCGTCCTACTTAGGACTCGTCACATAGATCAACCTGAATCTTGGAGTTGATGTTCACTCAGGGACTCGGACCGAGTACTGTTCTCTTCAAACGCCATCTCGTTATCCACTTAGCTACGAAGTCCTGATAGCCACTTGTTTGCGCAATGAGGTGAAAATTAAATGCACTTGGTATTGTTTATTTGAATGTTCCCGTTGATGTTTAGGACTGCAATTGATCAGTCTCCTATTGGTATAAGTGCATACTGTACACATTGCTTCGATATCGCCTTAATTCGCAAGCATTCTAGGGACGAAACGCGCGTTCTGGATTCTTAGCCACTATTAATCTTTGCTTATAATGCTTGTGAATTAAAGCAATATCGAGCCAATACTCACAGTATGCACATATATCAATAAGAGACTGATCAAGTGCAATCCTAAACATCAATTGGAAGATTCAAGTAAGCACTAATAAGTGAATTTATTCGATTATGAGTTTGAAAATGTTTTAACTGGAGTTAAGATGCTAGTTTCTAATCGTGTTTATCAGCTTTCGATGACTGATATATAATGGTTAGATCAGTGAATACTGAAACAGCAGATTATTGATCCAGTGTTGAATCCATCTGTTCTGTTCATAACTACTTGCTAATATTAAATATAAACTAAACCATTTTACATAAATATATTACTTAAATATGAGATAAACTTCTTTTTACTATGATAGGCTTTTTAATTGATACTTGATTTAAACAATACTAATCGATTAATAAAAGTTCTATGTATTCACAGTAATCAGAAGTATTAATCAAACAAATGACTAAGTTTCTATTTTTTATGCAAAATGAGATGGTGGAGATGATATGTAGCTCAGATAGATGATTTTGATGGGGTTTTGTTCTCTGAGTTGAATGGTTTGGTCGTGCAGCTTTTATCATCCTTCTGAACACTTCACTTCTATCCGAAGTTTGTGCCGATGATGTCGTTCAGAAGGATAATGAAAGCTCCACGACCAAACCATCCAGCTCAGAGAACAAAACTTTATTAAAAAAACGCAACAATCTAATGAATATTCTGAATAAAAAAATTTAATCTAATAATACCTCTGAACAATACAGCAACCAAGTTATTGCTTTTTATATTTCATTTCATTCAATGAAATCATTCGTGAAGTTACTAAGGGAAGTTGACATTAAAAATAGAATAAATTAAAATACCTTTTTTTAAAACAAAAGAGTTATGAAAGAGGGTTTGCCGGAAATCAACTTTTTTTGTTGTCTTTATTATTATTTGTGTGTTCGTTTTAAATTTCAGATAATAAAATAATCTTGGTTAACAAAACTTTAGCTTTTCATTAACCATATTATTATTATTTAGCCAATATTATTTATATTCGACTCCATTATTAAATATGATTAAATAAAGATTTTATATAATAAACTATTTTACCACTAGCAGAGATGGGTAGTGGCTAGCAGTGGAATCCAATACGCGCGTTTCGTCCTATTTGGGACTCGTCAGCTGGATGTACCTGCATCTCAGAGTTGATGTTCACTCTGGGACTCGAACCCAGCCACTATCCATCTCTGCTAACCATGCTTGTGAATTAAAACTATATCGAGGCAATACGCACAGTATGCACATATGCCAATTAGAGACTGACCAGTTGCAGTCCTAACAAATAGATGGGAAGATTCAAACAAACAATACTAAGTTGAATTTATTTTACCACTAGTTCTATATTTATTAGAAGAAAACCTAACTCACCTATTTTCCTTAAAAATATATGTCAAAAGAATGTATTATAACTGGGTATTATCCATTTTAAGCCGTTAAGTATATATCTATGCATAGTGTTTAACAGAGTAAAGCTATTAACAAATGAAAACAATAGTGGGCGGTTGCTGAGTTTCATGGATTGGTTGAAGTTAGACATTAAGACAGTTGGATGCTGGTCATCTCAGTGGACTAAAGGTTAAGCGTTCGCGCATGAGACTGATAGGTTCTGGGTTCGAATTTTGCGAAACGGGGTTGTGGATGCACACCGCTGATGATTCCCACAATAAGACGAAACGGCCGTCTAGTGCTTTCAGGTTTTCCATTTTGGTCTAGCTTTGATTAACTCATAAATTCAACTATAAAATGTTGTTTTTTACATTTTTCTAGTTTAATATTAAAAAAGATTTAGGAAATTCAGTAATAATTACTACGAAATCATGTAATGTTAAATCAGCCTTTTTAAACTCACTTATTAGATAAAAGCTTTAAGCATAATAAAGATTTATGAATTCTGATCTTAAAATTGGTGTATCAATTATTCACTACTATTTTTCCAGAAACTTCTAGATCTGTAATGTTCTTAACTAACTTATCATCGATTGATTATCGTTGAAAATTATCTGTTGTAAGATACTATTGCAAACGTATAATGGAAATCTAGTTAGGAAGAAATATAGATTTTGCGCATTTCATTTATCTTTTTTCTAAATATTCATATTTTTTTACAAAATAAAATCAATATTCAACATTTTAATTAACTTTTAGACGTTGCCAAAGATGCTGGATCCTTAACAACACCAACAAATGACGATCTCGAAGCATCAATAATTGCAGCTGAAGAAAAACGTAGAGAAAGATTTGAAGGTTTAGAAGAACAAAGAGAAAATATGAGACAGACAATTAGAGATAAAGTAAGTCTAGTTCAATGATTTCCTGGTATATATATATATGTCATTAACCATATAAAAACCTTAGTAGAAAGTGACTTTTGAATCTATCTGTATATGGTAAAGTTGTGGACAGTAACTAATGAGGTCTTTTTGAAGTCGAATCATTTTTCCGACTTCATAGTTTACAATTATCAACAACAAAAAGGTTAAGCATAAATAATCAGCATTTCATTTTGTGTATATAACACCTTAATTATATCATATGCAAAATAATCTTATTTAGAAGATTTTAGGTATGAAATTTTATGTCCGATTTCAGATCAGTACATATGTGACAACAACGCCTGCTATTTTTACCATATTACTACAGTGTTCTTTGTGTTTTTATTTTCTCAGTGATGATATATATATATATATATATATATATATATATATATAGAGAGAGAGAGAGAGAGAGAGAGAGAGAGGGTGGAGAGGGAGGGGGGGAGAAAGGGAGGTAGAGAGAGCCCGTAGTAGATTATCTCACATTAGATGGCAATTTTGATCAAGGGAATAAAAAATCTAATGAGTTTTATTGAGCATCAACTAATAGAATATCTATTTCCTTTGAAAAACGTTAATCAAATTAATACATTGATGCATTTCAGAGACAAATATAATTTTCATAGTTTATATTTCCGTAAAACATTATGAAATGTTATCTATGTTAATGTATTATAGTTGATTAACTAATACTAATTCATATATAAGAACTTTCGTCTAAATTAGAGCGAATAGTTCCACAGTATTTGAGCGCCGAGTTGATGTAAGACATTAAATAGGAATAATATATTTGTAAAATCTCAGCGAATGAATTTGTAGTAAATCCAACGTTTCACCTGGCAATCTTGAGTATTGTCAGTCTTGAGTGTTACCCTTGCCTCTTACTGCCTGTTACTGTGGTAGTCCACCATTAAGGGTTGACATGTTATCAGAAAAGGCAGCTGCACTCTCGGGTAGATGTTATTGTCTATAGGAATTTGATTGCTTCAATATTGAGTGTTACCCTTGCCTCTTACTGCCTGTGACTGTGGCGGTCCATCATCGAGGGTTGACATGTTATCAGAAAGATAATTCCCTGAAAAATCTTGGACCAGATTGCCAGGCGAAGCGTTGGATTTACTTCAAATTCATTCGCTGAGATTTTACAAATATATTATTCCTATTTAATGTAATACTAATTAAATTCTTATAAATAACTATATATTTAGCTTATTACTAAAATATTTTAGTGGTAGGTGAAAGTACATTTTATGTAAGTTATTTTGACTTACATATATATTGATGAAGTTTTGTTCTCTGAACTGGATGGTTTGGTCGTGAAGCTTTCATCGTTCTTCTGAACGACATCGTCAATGGTGTACTGACCAATGTTATAATATTCGGTATCGTCTCAACAAAAACAAAAATGACTTAAAATTATCAATCACTAAACGGATTCAATTGATAAGACTAAATATTAGTAAGAAAAATCAGGTTTATAAAATTACCAGTCCTAGTCATTAAACTGGTAACTAATTTACTTGTCATAAGGCATAATATTCAAGTATTATATAAAAGAGTAATATGTTCATGGGAAAGATATAAATGTTCTCTTCGCTCCTATAATCATGAGATCTATGCCTTGAATCTTTTTAAAAAGAAAACTTTTACGAAAATCTATTCATAAAATTTTTTATAGGCTATTGTTTTAATTTATTTAACCAGTTTGTTATTGAAAAGGCAACTTCTTAAATAATCTAAATACTTTTCATGCTAGTAACATAATTAAATATGTTATTGAGCAGATGATATTGGAATCAATATGTTATGGCTGGAATATAACATTATTTTAAAGGCTGAAACATCTTGAATATCAAGGTACAATTGAGTAGGGTCAAGGAATTAAGTAATTCCGCATTTTACTTTTCCCATAATCTCAATAAGATTACATAATCCATCATCAACTATGTGTTTTGAAGTAATATAAACCATTCACTACACCGATATAAAGGAATCTGAAATATTAAGTTTTACAAACGAAAAAGCCATGTGAATTATTCACTTCCAATTTCTTCTCAGATGCTATTATTTCTAATTCTTCCAATAATTGTTCTAAAATATTTCCTATTTGGGGGATCTGTGGATATTGTAGTATTTTGGAAGTTGAATTTACGAGTCGATGTAAGCTAGACAACTATTGAAAACCTGGAAGTACTGAATAGCCGTTTCATCCTAGTCTGGGACTTCTCATCAATATGCACCTACGATTCCACACACAAGACTCGAACCCAGGATGTTCGGTTTCACGCGCCACCATCGGGGCAGCATTCAGTGCGTGTAGGATCGTGGATACACACTCCTTAGTAGTTCCATACTAGGATGAAGCAGCCGTCAAGTACTCTCAGGTTTTTAATGATACTTACTTACTTACTTACTTACTTACTTACTTACGCCTGTTACTCCCAATGGAGCATAGGCCGCCGACCAGCTTTCTCCAACCCACTCTGCCATGGGCTTCCTTTTCTAGTTCTACCCAGTTCTTGTTCATTCTTCTCATGTCTGTCTCAATTTCTCGGCGTAATGTGTTCTTTGGTCTCCCTCTTCTCCTTTGACCTTCAGGATTCCATGTGAGGGCTTGTCTTGTGACGCAATCAGGTGATTTCCTCAAGGTGTGCCGAATCCACTTCCAGCGCTTCTTCCTGATTTCTTCCTCTACTGGAATCTGGTTTGTTCTCTCCCACAGTAACTTGTTGCTGATAGTGTCTGGCCATCGGATCCGAAGTATCTTGCGTAGACAACTGTTAATAAACACTTGTATCTTCTGGATAATGGCTTTCGTAGTTCTCCACGTCTCCGCCCCATACAGTAGAACTGTCTTGACATTTGTATTGAAAATTCTAACCTTGGTGTTGGTTGACAATTGTTTTGAGCTCCAGATGTTTTTCAGTTGTAAATATGCTGCTCTTGCTTTGCCGATCCGCGCCCTCACATCTGCATCTGATCCACCGTGTTCATCAATGATGCTGCCCAGATATGTAAAGGTTTCCACATCCTTCAAAGCTTCTCCGTCAAGTGTAATTTGATTGGTGCATATTGTATTGTATCGGAGAGTCTTGCTTTTCCCTTTGTTTATATTGAGACCTACTACTGCTGAGGCTGCTGCTACACTGGTCGTTTTCTCCTGCATTTGTTGTTGCGTTTGTGATAGAAGAGCCAGATCATCCGCGAAGTCTAAATCATCAAGCTGCATCCTGCCTGTCCACTGTATCCAGTGATTTCCTCCAGATGTTGACGTCTTCATGATCCAGTCGATGACCAGGAGAAAGAGAAAGGGTGAGAGTAAGCAACCTTGCCTCACACCGGTCTTTACTTGAAACGAGTCGGTGAGTTGTCCTTCGTGGACGATTTGGCAGTTTAGTCCATCATAGGAGTTCCGTATGATATTGACTATCTTCTCAGGCACGCCGTAGTGTCGAAGAAGCTTCCATAGTGTCGTCCTGTCCACGCTATCAAATGCCTTCTCGTAGTCGATGAAGTTGATGTAGAGTGATGAATTCCACTCGATTGATTGTTCCACAATGATACGTAGAGTTGCGATTTGATCTGTGCACGATCTATCCTTACGAAATCCAGCTTGTTGATCTCGAAGTTGTGCGTCCACGGAATCCTTCATCCTGTTTAACAATACTCTGTTGAAGATTTTCCCTGGTATTGAGAGGAGAGTGATGCCCTTGTAGCTGTCGCACTTGCTAAGATCACTTTTCTTTGGTATTTTGATAAGAAGTCCTTTTTTCCAGTCTGTTGGTACTTGTTCTTCGTCCCAAATCTTACTGAAGAGGATGTGGAGTATCTTGGCAGTTGCTGTTACATTTGCTTTCAGTGCCTCTGCCGGGATGTTGTCTGGTCCCGCTGCCTTGCCACTCTTGACTTGTCTAATGGCCATGCTGATCTCTTCAATTGTTGGTGGGCCAATATCGATTGGGAGGTCCGTGGGTGCTGCTTCGATGTTGGGTGGTTTCAGTGGAGCTGGTCGATTCAAGAGTTCTTTGAAGTGTTCTACCCACCTGTTTTTTTGTTCTTCAATGTCGGTGATTACTTTGCCTTCCTTGCTTTTCACTGGTCTTTCTGGCTTACGGTAATTTCCAGCAAGTTTCTTTGTTGTATCATACAATTGTCTCATGTTTCCTTCTCTTACAGCCTTTTCCGCTGTCGTTGCTAAATCTTCCACATACTTATGTTTGTCGGTTCTGATGCTCCTCTTCACTTTCTTGTTTGCCTCTGTGTATTCGGCTTGTGCCTTGGCTTTTTCCGCTCTGGTTCGGCTGATATTGATTGCTGCCTTCTTGTTCCTCCTTGTTTCAATCTTATCCAGTGTACCAACAGTGATCCATTCCTTGTGATGGTGCTTCTTTTGGCCCAGAACCTCTTGACATGTTGAAACGATTGCCTCCTTGATACCTTTCCAGTTGTTCTACATGGTAGTCCCCCCTCCATTGAGTAGATCATAAAAGGCCTGGAACCTGTTGCTGAGGGCTATGTTGAATTTGTTGAGTTTGTCAGCATCTCGAAGAAAGGCCGTGTTAAACTTTTGTGATGTTGTCCGCGCAGTTGTCCAGTGCTTCTTGAGTTTTAGTTTCATCTTGGCGACCAGCAAATGATGATCGGATGCTATATCAGCTCCTCTTCTGGTTCTCACATCCTCCATCGTCCTCCTGAACGTTTTGTTGATGCAGATGTGGTCGATTTGATTCTGTGTAATGTGATCCGGTGAAATCCAAGTGGCTTTGTGTATGCTTTTGTGTGGGAATATGGTGTCACCTATGACCAGTTTATTGAAGGCACATAGGTTTGCAAATCTCTCACCATTTTCGTTCCTTTCTCCCAATCCATGTTGTCCCATGACGTCTTCGTATCCAGTGTTGTCCATTCCAACCTTAGCATTGAGATCTCCCATCAGAATTATCAGGTCCTTGGTTGGGCACTTCTCGACGATCGACTGC